CCACATGCTCAGGGGCCCCCCCGGATGCCAAGTCAGGTGGGCAGATGTCAGTTCTGGCGGCCGAGGAACTGGGGAGTTCTCCACTCCTCAACCAGGACCTGCTGAAGCAGTCGCCCAAAGCCTCTCAGGTCGGAGCCTCCTGTGCCCCAGTCAAATCCATGCTCACCTCCCATTGTGCTCTAGGGGAGCAGTGCTTGGCTTCAATTCACCGGGTATGGCTCAGGGAAGCCACAGTCAGTCCACTCCCTCCCCGGCCCTGTGCAGACCTGGCATGGCGCACCCAAGAGTTCAGGATGGCTTTAGCTGCTGCCCAATGCCCACCTTGCCTGTTGTCCAGTACAGTGGCTCTGCACAGACTCCAGGCAGGTCCTCGGTACGACAAAGCAAAGGGCTGTGGGGGTGGTGGGAGCCATCTTGCAATTCAGTTCACACTGCGCCAGTGAGCCTGGTGTCCCAGTGCGCTCTATTGTTCCCGGAGCATTCTCTGATCTTGTTTTATATATATATATTACCCGTCACCTTTTTTCCCCACTCTTGAGTGTCCCATGTTGCTTCTCTGTGATTTCACAATGCTGCTTCAGAGAAGACCGATCATTATGTAGGCAGTTGCCTGCACCTTTCACTTCTTTCCTTGGGAGCCATGCTGATAGGGGGCTTCTAGTCCGCCATTTTTTCCCCCCGCAGGATGTGGGTTTGAGTTTTTCTTATTCATCCTGTTTGGCCGTTGATGAGCCTTTTCAATCTGAAGGCTTGTGCATTTCTTTTCTTTGGGAAAATGTTCTTATATAATTTATTTTTAAAATTATTTCTTCCCTCCATTTTCTCTTTTCTTTCCTTCCAGATCTCCTATTAGATAAACTGATCCTTTTAACTTTTCTTTCCTATTCTGCCTCTCTGCCTTTTTCCTTCTATTCCAGTTGATTTTCTTGACCCTTTCTTCTAGAACACTCTAAATCAGTATTCAGCTATGTCCATTCCATTATGCTTTTACTGAATTTCTTTTGGTATTATATTTTTAAATTCCCAAGAATACTTTTAAAATTTTCTAGTTGTTCCTTTTTCATAACACACAGTATATTCTTACTTTATGGATACAGTGTTCTCTTGATCTATTAGTTATAATTTTTAAAAATATCTTTTCTCTTTTTTAAACTGTTTGCTCCCTTCATGGTCAGTGGGTCTTCGTATTAGTTGCTGCTTTCCTTCAAAAGTTTGGTCATCCTAAGTTGTCCATTTATGTTTATAATGAAGGACTAGGCTTAACACACACGGCAAGTTCTGCTACCTATTCGTTATAAGATTTTAGACCAGTTTCTTAATCTTCTTGTGCCTCAGTTTACTCATCTATAAAATGGGGTAATAATACTTACAGGATGACAGATTAATGCTCTAAAATAAAAACATTAAAAAAAATATTGGCTGGGTATGGTGGCTCATGCCTGCAATCCCAGGACTTTGGGAGGCCAAGGCAGGAGGATCGCATAAGCCTAGGAGTTTGAGAGCAGCCTGAGCACCATAATGAGACCCCATTTCTACAAAAAATAAAAAAACCTAGCTGTGTGTGTTGGCACACATCTGTGGTCCCAGCTACTTAGGAGGCTGAAGGAGGCGGATTGCCCAAGCCTGGGAGTTTGAGGTTGCAGTGAGCTATGATGATGCCACTGTACTCTACCCAGGGTGACAGAGTGAGATCCTGTCTTGAAAAAAAAATTAATAAAACTTACAATATTTTTGTGAGAATTAAACAAATTGACACATCTAATGCAAGTGTTCAGAACAGTACCTAACACACTGCAAGTACTTGATAAATGTTAGTGACTATTACTACTATAAGTCACCTTTTCCTTAGGTGAGCTGACTGAGTGGGTGAGATACTGACTGGTTATATGGACATGAAGTTGGAAGGCAGGTAGGCAATGGTCTTTCCTCTCCACCAACAGATTTAAGATTGGCTTTACTCTAGTGATAAAGGATTTGAGAATATCGTGGGTAGATATTCTCTTGGATGGAGCTGCATTTCAACTTATTTCTGACCATCCTTGCCTCCTTCACACAAACTCAAACGTGCTAAACACTCTTGGGTTCCCACGTCTACACCAAAAGTCTTTCCCAGGCAAGTGGTTCATTTTCTTTGCAGTGCTTTTTTTAGGTCTCAAATTAAATGTGTCTGCTGCCTGCTGCTGGGGGTAAGGTTGGAGAACTGGGGGTTAGAAGTAGTTTTTTAATTCTCTGATGACCATATTAACTTTTCTTTTCACTTATTCACTGTATGCTTGATATTGTGTCAGATTTGTTTTAACAATTATAAGCAGTTTTCTCCCACGGGTGTTTTGCCCTGCATTTTTATTTTCTCTGGTATTGTTTATCTGCTCTTATTTGCTTTCTAGCTGTCAATAATTCTTCACAATTTCTGGTAAGCTAATGACCTTCTTTCTTATTCTTTTGGTGTTCATTCTCTTTTAAAGAATGTATTTTCTGTCTTTTTGATGGAAAGGAAAGGTGAATACAAGTGCTCAGTCCTCTAACTTGTGCCAAGCCATATTATTTTTCATACTGGTTAATACATTCATACCTACTAATTATAAGGATGAGGATCTGTTTATGCACTGAATCAACTTTTAGAGAGATATATTTATGTATACCATGCGTCTATTCAATCTCAATAAATTTAATCAAGAACTTAATTTGATAACAATTTAAAATGCAAAGCAAAAAGGAGACATTAACACTTACCAAATATCCCTATAACTATATAGCTTTATGTAATAGTTCTGTCTATATCTATTTACCTATAGATATAACTATAATGATATAAAATTAACCTAGAAGCTAAGGTAGGATCATTTTACTCTTATTCCTTTTCTTCTAATAAACAGAAGAGAACCTCAAAGGTTTATAGTACATGTTTCTGAAGGCTTCTGCATTTCCGAAGGCATCTTATCAAATATACTTATTACCTATAATTTTATGTATTGATTTGTATAATATATTTCAAGGAAAAAATTCAATATCAGCCATTCTTGCTTTTTTTTCTTTTTATTGAACTACCAAGAGTAATACAGCACATCACTAAGCAAAAAGTGCTATTTACTATGCAAAAGGCAAAGTCAGTGATTGGCATCTAAGACCAATTGATCTACCCATTACCACACTATCTCCCTACCCCCACTAGCACTACTATGAAGCTATTGATTTAAACACTGTCGATCGGTTTCCATTTTGTGATTTTGGGCAGGCCAATTAAGAAAGTGAGTAATTGTGATTACACTGCTTCAGGATCAATTACATTTGATGCAAGACAAAGTGCTCTTTTTGGAACATAGAAAAAATAATTTTTGATCTAGCATGCTTTTGTGCTTAATAAAATCTAAAATAAATAACTAATTTATACCTTTACAACAGAAAAATAATAATGTAAATGCTTAGAATAGCTAAGACTATTTTCTATGTCAAATAAATTTACTATTTTCCTAAAATTAGTTTAAAAGAAATGGAGAAAAAAATTGCTCATACTTCCCAACATAAGATAAAAATCAAATATACCTGCATATTTATCCCTAAAGGGACTTAGTTAATTGTGAAAGACAAAATGCAAATCATGTCCAACAGACTACAAAGGAGTTCTTTGTAATAAAAATATTGGGGAAAAAAAACCCTAACATAGGAATCAAAAGGTTCTTTACATAAATTGATAAGAAAAAGCAATATTTTTAGCTCTTAATTTTGGTCTAACTTGGTACATGAGCTTTGTCATTGGGTTCACATTGTCCAAATCATTAAAATGAATATACCTCTAGTGTTGGAGGCAAATCTATTTGGAGTGATGTTACTCATAGTCTGGTGTTCAGTAATATTGATCTGTGTTGTTTGTCTAATAGAAAAATAATAAACAATTACTAGGCAATGTTGGGAAAAGTAATCAGTTTTTATATATCACTAATATAGCAGACCTCCCAAAACATAAAGGTGATGATCTGCATAAAATCAATGTGTTGTGCTACATTGCTTATATTTATCACTGCAGGTTCTCGGCAATAAAAAGTATAATATTAGGCCTGAGTCACTGGTAAACTGAAAAGGTGTACGAAAATGAAAGGTTCACTATATTTAATCTATAAATCTATTTTAAAATGTCCATTTCTAAAACCTGAAGATTTTTAATCATAACAAATTCTATTCTAAGCTGGCTAAAATTTAGATAAATAAAATGTCTCAATTCTTTTTAGAATAAAAACAAAGCAACTTTAACTCAAAGTAACAAATTGTGCCCTATATCAGAAAAATAAAAAAGAAAAAGAGTTCAAGGATAATACTCAAAGACGTATGAATATAGCATGTACTAAATTGTACTAATTTGCTAATAGACACTGAATTTCATCAAAAATGTATAAAACATTATATAAAAACAATAACAACAAAATCCTATCCTAAAGAAGCTATTTTGAATAGTATTCAGCTATGAAAGCTTTGCCAACTGCATAAATATTCTTTTGATTTTTATTAAAAGCAGTTTGTAAATTAAAGTAAAAAGGAAGATAATTTATGGGTTTTAGGTACTGGCAGTATCAATAATATTCCACTGAAGAAGCTCAAGATAAAATGTATGATGATTCAAAAGATATCTTCTCTGGGTCTATTCAATAATATTAAAGTTTTTAATTTCTCCTGGATTTTCCTCAAGGATTTTCTCATAAATTTTCCAAAACTGTAGCATTAAGATAAGTAAACATTTACTTAGCAGTGTCTTCTTTCTTTAACCAAAAAACTATGAATTTCAATCACATACGGCAGACAGTAATGCTAGGTGTGTAATAAACACTAAAAATACACATACTGCACACAATTTGTACAACTATTCCATGGCAATCTAAACATCGTCAAAGCAAAACACATTTGTTTAAATGTTTTGTCTTTCACAGAAAAAAAGCTGTTGAAAGCCTACTTTTTGATCTGCTATCCATAACAAGTGATATAAAAAACAGAAGAACAATTGAACTTACCACAACTGGAAACTGGCAGTCTGAGTAGAATCACAAAAGTCAATACCCATTGAAACAGTAATGGATCCCTCAGGCTCAAGAGAGTCTAGGAAATGAGATAATTTAGACATGAAAACATGGAGGTGTGAAAAAGAGGCAAACTAAAAACTGAAAATGTACGTAATGTTTGTAGTTTGATTAAAACAGTCAAATTTAATGACGCTTTATAAGAAAAATTTCAAACTGATAATATTAAAGCAAATTATAAAGTAACCTCAGCATTCTGCTAGAAGGTTTTCTTTTTCACAACTTAATTCTATACATACTCCAATAAACATATTATATCTATTTGTTTCAGAAACTTTGTTTCAGAAACATACTTTCCTGAGAAATTTCACGATTTCCATTATTGTCTCTATAGGCATTGAGAGTGAGAAGGAAATAAATGTGCTCCTGTTTGGCACACCTCTAATGGACTTTGGGATCTTAAAAGAGATTAGCTACTTAAAACTCAAATATTTATTCTAGATCTAAAAAGTAATTTTTAAACAATGTTCCCAATTTTCAATGGAAAAAATCCTAAATTTAAAAATGCAAATTAAAGCAAAGTTGGAAGAAAAAATTAAGATGTACTCAGAAATTAACCAAAAGAATTGGCATTATTGAAACCAAAATAAGTCTAAATACATTATTTAAAACATTACTGAAATAAAACTTACTGACACATTAGATTATCTTGACAGAACAAATAATAAAGGGACATTTTATAGATTTGGAATTTCTGAAGCTTCATCTATCAACTAACCAAGTATGAGAAATAACTATACCAATATCCAATATAGTACTGTTTTTTTTTTTTTCAGCTAACCATGAAAAAATTTAAGGCAAACAACAGAATTTCATTCTTTTTATGACTCCAAAGTTTGGCTATACCTTAGAATAACTGAGGAGATCTTAAATGTGTATGTATATATAATATATATTTTTATGTAGAAACTAACCACTTTTTATTTCCACTTTGCCCAAAATCTTCAGTGTAACTGCAGCCATACCATACAACAGCTTTATATTTAGCTTTATGTACTCTGCATACATCTTGTCACATGTAGTTATATTTTAGCAAGCACACTTCCAATTCAGTAGACTGTGACGATCCTAGGTCTTGTTGGTAAGTATGATTTGCCATGTAATACTAACCAGGACAGAGATGATGGTACAGTTGAAATAATAATTCAGTAAGTTTAATGTATTAAGAATTATGTTTATGTCTCATAGGCTCAATGAAGATTAGGCATTATAAGAGAGTACTTGTTTGATGCTGACTTTAAAATGCTATTGGTTTGTTCAGTGGTATAGATGTTGGTTTGCTGATTCTAGTTAGAATTTCATTTGTTTATAAACCTAACACTTGCCAGGATGCTGCTTAAATACCAGAAGACTTGCTGCCTAAATCTTTGGCAAATATATTTATTTACAATAGGGTAAAAAAAAAAAATATATATATATATAAGGCACAAAGAATAGCCGTAAGCTCTCTGCACTGTATTCAGTGACTTTGTGTTAATAGCTGACGAATTTGAATTCAGCTAAGATTTTACTAGTTACTATACAACTGTCACATCAAAGTAGGTGGCATCCCATGTGATTTAATTTTTCATTATTAATAATCGCATTTAATGATTAATGCAAAATTTATATATATGTGCTTAATGCCTTCTTCTGTGCCCTAAATATACTGGGGTTCGGTCTTGTTTGTATCTGACACGACATTGGTAGCAAATGCCATCATCTCCAAAATATTATGGCATTCATGATTTAGATCTCTCTTCATCATGTATCCTTGTATTTCATTTGACAAAGTGACAGCTCTCAAGATGCCTTGTTGATAGCACTCTTTGACACTGTTTGATACTGTCTTCAGTCTTAAGATAATTAACTGTGAGCTTAGTGCCATCTTAATTCTGGAGAACAGTTCGTGATCAATGGCATGTTTTATTATATAGATGCTTTAAGAGCAAAATGATCAGCATAAAATTATTCACATAACGGATTTTTATATTTGGAGCCTGCTAAATTGGGAAAGCTTACCCAACTAGGGGACTATATTTGGATAATGCTTCTAGATTTGCTGTTATATACTTACGATGGCTATGTAGAAAAGGCTGAACAATGCTGGCTCTGTTATACCACATCATTAATAAGGAAAAATGAAATCACATAGGATGCTACGTACTTTGATGTGACATATATGCAGTAACTAGTAAAATCTTAGCTGAATTCAAATTTGTCAACTGTTAATGCAAAGTCACTGAATATAGTGCAGAGAGCTTAAGGCTATTCTTTGTGCCTTAAAAAAAAATCTCTTATATACTTGGTCCCTTTGGGAAAAAATGGCACACTATTCCTAATATTCTTGCAAGGAATCCAGTTTCATGCTAAAGGCAGGGCCAAATCTAGACAAAAATCATCACATATTAAAAAATAGACAAAAGTAAAACAGATTGCTGACAAATAAGAAAACTGTTGGACTCCTTAATGTGCATATATACTTAATAAATAAAACAAAAATCTCACCTCTCTTATTTCACAAAAACATGAAAATATGGTATTTGTTTGTTGCATTGTTAAGATGTTTTTGGAGGACTGATTTATATAATCTATAACTCTACTGTAATCTATTGGTAATAGAGTGGTGTTATACACAAATACATATCACACATGGGAAAGAACTCAGTATCTTGAAGGCATTCAATAAATGCCAACAAAATGAATGAAACATACAGTCATAAAAATTTGTCTAAAAATGAAAAAGAAAAGCCTATAACTAGCACTAAGGCAATGGTATACATTCATATTTTATTTCTGTGTTAAGGTCATACTGTGAAATTTATTATATTTATTTCTTCTATTCTACATAGGCCAACAAAAGGTCAACTCATCAACTCATTATGCCAGCTCAAAGAAAAATTAATACTGTTCTACTGTTCTAACCTTTGGATAACATTTTCAACCTTCAGACAATTCATATATTAGCCGCTTGACACTTCTTAAACTAATTTTTTTAACGAGGTAAAAAAGACTGGATTACAAGCAATAAAAAAGAACACAAATTTGGATATTCTATAATTCTTTGGCAATATATTAATGTCACAAATTAATTAAATAAAAATCAGGATAAGTTGTATTCTTTAAATTGTCTTAATTATCAAAACATTAAGAAACGATATTAAGTGGATTCTGAAATCAGCTTACTTCAACTCTTCTTTTCTTTGGTTGCTTATAAAACTTTGCCAGGTTTTACTGATCGGAAATTGTTCTATTTCTTTGAGTAAAAATATAACACAAAGAATGACTTCCTTTACTGAATGACTCATGAAAATACAGGAGAGAATTCAGCAATGCCAAAGAGTTCATACGAAGATGAAGAAAAATGGAATAGTGATGTGAAATAATGAGTAAAGAAGGCCCGATTACCGAATTTGAGTTCATGCTGGTCAAAAGGCTTTGTTCACCTGAACTATTATATTGTAAAAGGGAGCATTCTGACTGTAACATTTGGAGGATACAATGACACACACCTTATATCACTTTTAAGTGAAGTTTTGCCTGAAGCTTCTCTCAACTAAACCTTAGGACTATCTCTACTTACCAAAAAACAGAAAGAATAGAGATAGACATTCTAAATATTATACTATGTCAAATTCAAAGTAAGACATATGATTGTTACACCTAATTTTTAAAGGGTATATTTTTTAGCAAAATACTTAAAAAATGTAAAGGGGATGATAAATGGCCACTGACACTTAGTTGGGAAGACAGTACGATGCAGTGGGCACAGAGGCAACCTGGAAAGCACAGGCTGCAACAACAGCTGGTTGTTGCACGTGGGAATATAGGACCAGTACTGCCATATCTTATGCTTTGTTCTAAGAAAAGTGAGATTTCTTTTTTTTTTTAATGTAAAAACATCTTGATTTTTAAATGATGACAACAGATTAAAAATATTTAAAAACATGATATGGGTAAATACCAGTACTCTACTATGGGCTGTTCTATATTCTATGCATAGAGAGGAAAACAAGCAGAATAATAATGTACATCCTCTCAGTCTTTGCTCCCTCCACTCTTCAATTTACAGAACGTGAAGGGAAACAGAAAAGGGTCTTGAGATATGGGAGTATGGTATTCAAAAAGGCAGACTGATTTTCTTGCTTTTAATACACAATAAGCCACCTAAAATCATGCAGGGAATGAAGCTGACCAGGAAGAGAGGTGGGGGAAGGTGATGCAGATAGGTAAAATAGGAGGGCAATTTTGATTCTGCAGATCTATCTTTCATCACTACTGGTATTACTATTGCTGGGACCTGATTCACTAAGGGCAAACAAATATATTTATCTTGTATGATAAATTCAGTTTATAAAGGGAAAACAAATATGAACTGAGTATGCTAATAGTCAATAAGATAATATTCTATTTTACTATTTTACTAAAAATTATTCTCTTTTACTTTTAAAATGAACACATTTAGTTATCAAATATAGTTAAGATTTTAAATGAGAATTAATACTTACCTATTGGATTAAAAACATGCATTTGTATGCCTATAGGAAGTTTTTTTTCCCCTATGTGGATATTTTCTATCTTTTGATCAGTAGTATTATTCAATGTTATTTGTACAGAGACCATCTTATCACCAAAAATGCAAGGCTGTCTTGGAAAGTAATAATTGGCAGCTAGTCCTTTTCCACTCATTCGATGAAGCAGCACATGAGTTTTCATTGGTACAAAGACAGGAGTAGAGACCTATTGCGCATAGGAAAAAGAAAAAA